GAATAAAAAAATATTTACTCAAATATCAACAAGATTTACTATTTTGATGATTTTCGTACTATAAAATTAGGTTACAGAGACAATATATTAATTGTATAAAATCTAATCTCTTTTAAATTTTGTATCAATTAAAATAAATGGAAAGTAAAATAGCTTTATCACAAACATTCAAAATAGTTAATCTATAAATTATTCTTATTAAATGAAAATATAAAGTTTTAAATCAATAAAGTACAAATATATAAAACAACGACTTATTATATGTTCAATAATTAAATTTAATTATTTATCCATATCCATGTGGAATTGGTTAACATTAATCTTAAATAATCTATTTTAGTAGTATCACTTTATTTAGAATTATCGCAATTTTATTAATTAAAAAAAGGAGTACATAAGTTCATAAGAAATTTAATGATTTAGACAACATTATATGGTTGTATTTTTTTAAATAATCACAAATATTTTCATCTTTAAATTACATGAACAAATTACAATATTGAGTGTAAAATAATGTGTTATGCATGTTCAAATTTATTAAAATATTAGTGTTATGTTATTTAATTCATCAGAAGATTTGATGATAGTAGGATTTTTTTATGGTAAATTACATTTATAAAGAAAACAATAATCTATTTGTATACAATTCAATAAATTTAAATTGTCTAATCTTGTTAGAAAATAAATTTGAATCAATAAGAAAATAAAATATTAGTGCAGGCAGATGATATGAAAATTGTAATATTAGAAAAAATATTAAAGGAGAGGAATAAATTTGGGAATTTATAATTCATTTAGTGGTATAATTTTTACCTGAGAGAATACATTTGCTATAAAATTTAACATAAAGAAATGGGTTCTATTGAAATAAAAATAAAAATAAAATAATTAATTTAATTATAAGAGAGCCATTTAGATGTATGGATCTAATGATGATTTATAAGCCATTTTGGCAATAAATATTTAGCTTTAAAAGATAACAAAAAATAATTCAATTAATCCAATTTTCAACGTAATTAATAGGATAAATAAATAATAGGAGAATATTTACTGGTTGGGATAATAAAAATAAATAAATTTTGATTGGAAAATATCAGCCTCTTTTTATAGAATATTTAGTATTCAGATAAATTGCGTGTTTGTAAAATGAAAATTTTTAGGCAATATCATTTTAGGTTCTATTGAAAATATTAATAGTGGCATTAAATAATTAGATTAAAGTCTTCAAATTAGAGGAATTAGCATTTACTTAATAATAGGTAATGAATAATCATTCAAAAGATGTGAGTTTATTATTATATTTTTAAAGTGTTAATTTATTTATATAGTATTTTATTGTAATTTATAAAATTTAGAGATTTAGTGTTTAATTTAGGATAAATTAAGTTATATCTGAGTCTTTAGATAAATCATTAATTATTTGGACTTGGGATGAGATTGGCCATATATATAAGCGCAAATAAATTATTAATAATATTGTTGGGAGGAAATTGATATTAATAAATAAACAGGAAAACTTGATAGTATTCAGTACAGAGCTAAGCATTTTGGTCAACACCTTATGTTCACATTACTTTTGGTCACAGATAATGTGGAGACAAAAGTGACCCCTTAAAAAAGTAAAAGTTCATTTTTTCAAATAGGGGATTGATACAAAATTCCTTAGGGCATAAGCACCGAGCGAAACTAGGTATTACCATTCTAAAAAAATACTATATACATAGAAAAATGTTGTTATTAATTTTATCAAGTATCATACAAATTTACATAAAATTATTTTTATAATCTTTTCATAAGATATCAAACACCTTTATTAAGAGAGTACTATTATAAGATAAATGGTAAATATCTTGATATCTTATTGTGGAAAGAAAAATGACCTTTCAAAAAGTGTTTCTTCAATTAATGGCTAATGTATTTTCAAAGGGGGGTTAACTATAAATCAAAAAAATCATATTCCAATAATAAGACATATTCTAATAGCTAAAAAGCGCTCAAAAATTCCAATTATTTATGCTTTAAACAAAGAAAAAAAGAAAAATGAATTATTCAATTATATTACTCAAATTAAGTGTAAATTAAATTATTCATATTAAAATTAATTATTCCATATTATTTAAGAAGAAAGTAATGCATAGATCAAAATGATTTCTTAATAACTTAATATACCTCTATGATTATCAATTTGAAATCTCCACAAAGTCTTAACGCATATTTTCCAAAAATGCACAAGATACTGTTGATTTTACATTATATAACTTGAAGTTAGAGTAATAGAAATTCATTATTAAAAATAAAAAAGAAAATGCAGGGCTGTTTTTAAGCGAAAGAATCCCTAACTGACATATTTGATTAAATAAAAGATGTAGACTAATAAATATTTGGGGTCATTTTAGAAATATTAAGAAAAGAAAAAGTGTAAGACTTAATTGGATTTCTATCAGACTTTGGGAATTAAAGATTATTAGAATCATCAATTTAGCAACAAGGAGAGAAATTAAAACTACGTGATAAGCAATAGAAATGGTCTGTTGGAAGAAAAGACTTGGAGTAAATTTCAAATGTTTTAAGAAAATTAAAAGATCATGAGTTCAATTACAAAGACTTTTCCTCTGAACTAAATGAAGAATCAACATTAAGTCTAATTTAAAGCATCAAGGATAATAGAAGGATGATTGAATTTTTGAAATTTTTAGTTCAACTCACACCCATAAATGACTATTTGACACAATGTGGATCTAATTCATTACATGTATTAGTTAAGATGAAGGTGGATGTTAGAAACAAAAATTTTGAAAAAATTAAGATCGAAAAAACTTCGTTAGAAGGAGCAAATGTTTTTAGAAGTAATTTTTGTGAATCCTAATTTAATAATTTCAATATAAATGGAATAAATTTGAATGGAGCACTATTATTGAATTGTAAATGGAAAAACTTAAGAATCCATGAATTAAATAAATTATCTGGTCATAGTGATTAAGTAAGATCAATTTATTTTTCTCCAGATGGAAATACATTAGCTTCTGGTAGTAGTCATAACTCTATCAGTCTATGGGATGTCAAAACAGAATAATAAAAAGCTAAATTAGATGGTCATAGTGGAACTATCTGGTCAGTCTGTTTCTCTCCTGATGGAAATACATTAGCTTCTGGTAGTGTAGATAGCTCTATCCATCTATGGGATGTCAAAACTGGATAATAAAAAGCTAAATTAGATGGTCATACTCATTATGTCAACTCAGTCTGTTTCTCTCCTGATGGAAATACATTAGCTTCTGGTAGTAATGATTACTCTATCCGTCTATGGGAAATCAAAAAAAAGTATTGTTCAGATTATAGATTTAAAGAGCAATTTTTTGGAGCATCTATTTAAATAAATACTAATTAGTGCAAAAATGCAATTGAAAAAGGACATTACAACATGATAGAGGAATTGGAAATTCATTTTAGGAATCAAATTAAGTTAATTTATTTTTAAAAGTTTAGTGGAGGAGGGCTTTACGATTAAGCTAAAGTAGAAAAATAGGCAGATGGACTGAATTGAGCGATTGATTTAGCATTCTTAAGTTTTATTTAGAGGTGAGTATAAAAATGATAAACAAATTGGAAAATGGAATATTTTGTCTAGATTTTATGATATAAAGCCTTTTTAATACAAGTACGATTAAAATAGATATATTTTTTGGTTGTGGTGTTAGAGGTGACAATCAATATCTGGAGGGTCAAAACAAGTTTTACTCATATATACTATAGAATTAGAAATTATTATACATTAGTCAAAAATGTATTTTCTACGTGTTTGGATGGTATATACAATCTTGAATAATCCTAATATTAAAGTTTCAATTCACTCTTAAAAACAAAAAGGGCAACAATTTTTTTATGGCTACTAATAATCATAATCAAAAGGAGTGTTAAAATATATTCCAATCTCTAAATATTTAATTGAAAAATTACAATTATTTGTTCTCTTCATTACGGTTTAACTAGAAAAATAAATGATAGATAATAGGATTATAGTTTTAATTAAATTTTCTTAATAATCTTCTATATTATTAAAAAATCAAGTAATTTAGACGTTGAAATGAATTCTCAATAGCATCATTTACATCTATTACAATCAATTTAAAATCTACACAAAGTCCTAACTCCTATTTTACAGATATACACAAGATACTTTTCTTGATTTTGCAGTGTATAACTTTAAGTTAGAGTAAGAGAAATTCAATAATAAAATAAAAAAATGAAGGGCTCTTTTTCAAAGAAGGAAGCTTTACTGACATCTTTGATTAAGTAAAAGATGTAGATATATAAATCTTTGGGGTTAAATTAGAAATATTTCGAAAGGAAAAAGTTTAAGATTGCATTGGATATCTATCAGACACAATGAATCAGAGACATTTAGAATCATAAATTTTACAACAAGTTGAGAATATCACACAAATTGATACAGAATGAAAATTTTCTGCTATTGCATATGACATGAAATAAATTACAGATGTATTAAAAAATTAAAAGATCATGACTTCAATTACAAAGACTTTTCCTCCAAAGAAAATGAAGAATCAACATTAAGTCTAATTAAAAGCATCAAGGATAACAAAAGGATCATTGAATTTTAGTAATTTTTAGTTCATCTCACATCTATAGATGAAACTATGATATAATGTGGGTCTAATTCATTACATATTTTAGTTTAGATGAAGGAGGATTTAAGAAATTAAAAATTTTAAAAAATTAAGATCTAAAATGTCTCATTAGAAGGAGCAAATTTTGCTAGGTGTAATTTTAGTGAATCCTAATTTAATAATGTCAACATAAGTGGAATAAACCTGGACGGAGCATTATTATTAAATTGTAGTTGGAAAGACTTAAAAATCCTTGAATTAAATAAACTAGATGGCCATTAAGATTAAGTCAACTCAGTCTGTTTCTCTCCTGATGGAAATATTTAAGCTTCCGGTAGTGGTGATAAATCAATCCGTCTATGGGATGTCAAAACAGGATAATAAAAAGCAAAACTAGATGGTTACAATGATTATGTTAGATCAGTCTGTATCTCTCCTGATGGAAATACATTAGCATGTGGTAGTGATGATAAGTCTATCCTTCTATGGGATGTCAAAACAGGATAATAAAAAGCCTAATTGGATGGTCATATTAGTTGTGTCTTCTCAGTCTGTTTTTCTCCTGATGGAAATATATTAGCTTTTGGCAGTAGAGATAACTCTATCCATCTATGGAATGTTAAGCATGGAAAAGAAAATTTACCAGCTGACAAAAATAATAAAGATTTTCTTGTGAGTTTTAAAGCTCCACTATTTTAAGGCAATCTCTGCCAAGTATTTATTTTATTAATAATTTTTAGAATCCTCCAATTTTACTATTCTGCGAATATCTCAAAAATTATTATTTCAAGCATAAGGAGCTTTGATCTTGAAAGGAGATTTTCTAAATTATGCCGGATACAATCTTAGATAGTTATTCGAATCAAAAGGATGCTGCTTTTTAGAAGACTTAAAGTGATTGTTCATTAGCAATATTATTTTTATAATTACAATTAATTTCTAGTATTTTTTTCATCGTTTCTTTATTAGTTTGACTCTTCATATCCCTTTATAAGATAGGTAAGTACATATTTTCCAAAGTTTTATTCCATTTTTGTCATATATAGGGATTATTTATTTAAATATCATAAAAACCGTATCAATTAATATTTATAGAGATTTAATTTTAAATGAAACTACATAATTAAAATAAAGAATGAAATGATTAGTTAAAGAAAACTAATCTAACACAACATTCTTTATAATTCATCTAGGATATTATGTGGTAGATTTATTTAGATTATTACTGTTTATAAGCAGGAAAAGTCTTCAAAGATATCAATAATAGTTTTGTAAAATTTAGTTTTTAGTTTAAAAATAGGAAAAGATACAATTAATAACAAAGTTAAGAAAAAAGATACATCAAGAATTAAA